TCACTGTCAACCGTTGATTTTGATTGCATGTTTTCCGAGTAGCATTTACAGTCAGCAACTGTTTCAAACCTTTGTAATTTACATATTTCCTCTTAGTCTCTGCGTATGCTGTCTTTCTTTACCCGCACATTTAGTTCTGTTTTGTCAGAGTGAATTGGTTTACTTTTGAATGTTTGATGTACTAATTAACTTGTCTAGCTTGTGATATGTGATTTGGAGCTGTTGTCCATTGTTTACATTTACTCATTTAGAGTTACCAAACAAGAAATTAAGCTCCATTTTTTTCTATTTTATGGTCTCCATATATCTCTTTTGAAATTGATCTCCGCAAATCGGTTGTGGAGTTTCACATACCTGCATGGAGTTCTGATGCTGTTATAATGCATTAGAAGTTATATCTACTGCATTTATCTGGGATGCCCGTATTTATGCATAAATGGTGAACTTGTCATTTACTTAAACCTTCTTTATTTGTGATGCCTGATTTCTGAGTTTGTATGTTTCAGTTTTCCACGTTACTGACAGGATTGCATTTTTTGTTTGTTTGCAGATTTGATGTTAGCACGAGTGTAGAAAATCTCGAGAAGTTGAGGGTTTACATTATAGTTTTGGTTTGTTGGGAGCTCTTACGTGTGTTTCAAGGAGGTATGATGTATTTTACATTCACGGAGGAGTGTTCTTCGACGCTGGCTTCATCTTCCCAATTTACTTGTGTAAATAGTAAATGATCCCATAGATACCATTAACCTCTAACTGGGGAGCTTTTGCTTTTAGTATGATATGTAGTTACCTCCCTACATCTCAGAGGGTGCAACTTTTTGCATTGTGTCTATATTGAGTATAGTTTGCCTTGCTGTGGTAGCTTCTCCAGATTGTTACAACATTTTTTTTAATTCTTTTGTGAGTTACCCTCTCTCATTTTCTCCCACCTGCTGTACTTTTGGTCTTGAATCTTGATGTACAACGTGCTCGCTCTTCTATGTTTTCTTTTAGCATTGAGACATACTTGAGCGCATGAAAACGTTGAAAACGAATCGACTGTTGCGATGATTTGCAGTTCAATGTTAACAGGCTTGCTCGACTTGAAAGAAAAGCAAATGTGTCTGGTAAGCTGGTTGCTGAATAAGCGAGGTACGTGAATTGGCTTGCGATTTTCTGTTGCGGGTGAGTAATGTCATCTGTATATTGTCTTAGCAGTTTGTGAGATTTGTCATAGCATTTGGGGGCTTTTTTCATGGCAATACATTACCCCCTCGTTATGCTTGACGTATCTTTTTAATCGGCTGGTTCTGCTTGACATGTTTGCCTGAAAAATCCTCGGACTCGTGTCTAAAAGAAGTCATTCCTCTTTACACACGGCACATTTTGCGGACTTTATTGTTTGTTTGTACTTTGAATAAAATATTTTTATGTATGGCACTTCATGAGTTGTAAAATCTCACAGAATCATACTGCGTTCTGTTTGTTTTATTATTGAACAAAAACTTTATAGTGTTTAGAGTATAGAATTCTCCGGATTTTTTAACCGTTATATATATATATATATTTTTTGGTTCAATGCCAAAAGAACGGTTTCTTATATAATGGACTGAATCAGATCATCAAAAAGTCATAAGACACATACATCAACTGTTGCAAAGAGGTGACCTTCTTCATGAAGGCAGAATCATATCCGTTTGATAGTCTTCGGTAACGTTACGTTGGACATGGCCCCCCATCCGGCAGACGCGGCAATTTGCACAGTAAGCTTTTAGCATGATTTAAGGAATTGTTAAAGAAAGAGTTGAAGTTGACCTTTCATGGATAAGGATTTTGTTAGTTTTGAATACGAATAGTAAATTGCCCTGTATTTGTCGATTTCTCTCTAAACATAGGAGTTGTCAATGTTCCCATGAGCTTTAATTTTAGTTGATTATTCCTTGAAATTTTATAATTGGTCAATTTTTCATCTGAATTTTAATTTTAGCCGATTACCCTCTGAAGTTTTATAATAAATAAATTTCCCTTTGAACTTTAATTTAATAATTGTAAAAAGGTAATTTTATCCATAATGTGGGCAATATATTGTTTTTTCTTTTGTTTTGCTAGTTGACTCTGTACACTTTTTGTTTGAATTTAAGGTTAGAGGGGATTAATGTCACATTCCAGACTGGTTCTGCCGTAGCACGATATTATCCACTTTGGGCTCAACATTCCCTCACGGTTTTGTTTCTAGGAACTCACGAGCAACTTCCTAGTGGGTCACCTATCATGAGATTGTTCTCGCCCGAACTTGCTTAACTTCGGAGTTCCAATGGAACCCGAAGCTAGTGAGTTCTCAAAAGGCCTCGTGCTATATGGAGATGGGCATGTATATATAAGGCATATCACCCCCTCTCCGTTGGTCGATGTCTGACTTGAGTTGATACAAGATGGCCGTCACGTGATGGTGACGTAGCCTAGTGCACAACAGAAGTGATAGTAACAAGAATATGTGAATAAATAAATAAAAACCAAACCTAAACTTATTTAAACTAGAGATAATATATATATATATATATATATATATATATATATATAAAAGTTATATATAAGTGTGTGGAAGTGACCAAAAACCAAATACAAGTATTCAAAGCATAGGCAATCCAATAGTGCAATCAAACTGAACAAGTACTAATTATACAAACAGGGAGAAGATCCCTACATTTCTAGCTTCTAGTTAGCTTTTGAATCATCGAAATTGGTTGAGAATCGAGCTCGTAATAAGCTCTGAAAGTCGAGGGAAAAATTTGCATTATATGAGCACACATGTATTCATTTAGAGCTTATCATTGCTGCATCCCGGTGTTAGTGCTCCCGCCCTGGGCCAAGGCATAGCCTTCATGTGTATGTTCACCTCTCGCACTGCACGCTTGCCTTGGATCCAAGTAGGTGCTAGCCTGTCTTATAGACTGCATTAGGCAATTTTGACTCATAGGTGACCCACGATTTATCGTTACCCATCACGTGATCGTAGCATTAGAGCATACATATTTACACCCAGCCTGTCATACAGGTCACACTAGGTGACTCCGACTCATGTGCTAGTATAGACTGATGAGCAATAGGTCCAGTAGTACATGTCACATTAGGTGACTCCGACTGGCATGTTAGTTAGACTAATTTCACACCTGGTTTATGCTTATTATTGCTCAGATATTGTGGCATGGCATGCTTCAATTTTCACTGCACTCATGCATTTGTTTTCGTACTTATGTAGTATTATTTTCTGGAAATTATACTGGTTTTACAGTGAGGGGTTATTAGTTTTCTAAAGCTTTGTTTTGCCCACTCACCCTTCTGTTTTTCGCCCCTCCAGGTTTTAGTAGCTGAACTTTCGTATCGACGAGGATTCTTGGCATATCCCAGTATATGTGGCTACCTATGATGGTATAATCCTTATTTTACCTTATTGTGCTTTACTTATGCTCTATAATCAAGTGTGAAATGAGTTTATTCCCCCTCACAGCGCACTTTTATATTTAAGCACTTTTAGGTTTAAATTTATTCACATTTTTCACATCACTACATTTTATGGCTTTGTCACCTTCTAGGTGTCGGCCAACACAGCTTGATTCGGAGTCCTAATGGACATTCCTGGTCGGGGGTGTGTCAATTAAAGTTTGGGAAAAAATTGGCTTATTCTAAAAGTTTAGAAGGTAATCTGCTAAAATTAAAATTAAGGGAAAAAATTGGGTAATTATAAAAGTTCAGTAGGGGAAATTGGTCAAGTATGAAATTTAAAGTGCGTAATGGACTAAAATCAAAGTTCAGGAAGAAAATTTATAGTTCCTTATATTTCGGATAGAAAATTGGCCATACCTCTAATATTATATACTTTCATGAGTAAACCGTTGATTTGCTCCCTGAACTATCACTTAACTTTCGATTTCTCCCTGAACTTTTTAATTGAAAAATTAAGGACTTAAACTAATTTTTTGGCTGATTTGCCCCTGCTATTAATTTTTCATTCATTCCCTCCAAATTTCCGTTAAATGGAAGCATGTGCACAACATGTGAGGGTAGTTCGTCGCTTCATTTTTTTTTTAAATAATTGAAAACTTTAGATTTCTAAAATGTAAACCTATGCAAATATGTGTAATTCTATAGTTTTTGTGTCTGAAAAGCTTGTGAAGTGATGCTTTGGTTCTCAAAAGAGAGTCATGTAGTGTGCACGTGATAAGAGTTAATGTTAATTTGAATAAAATCTATGGAAAAATAACGGTGGAAGGAAATCGGCAAAAAAGAAAAGAAAAGTTTAAGTTCTTAAATTTTTAATTAAAAGATTTAAAAGAGAAATCAAAAGTTAAGTAATAATTTAAAGAGTAAACTGACAGTGTACTTTACTTTCATAAATAACAAGTTCGGTATTGAGTTATCAAACTCACAACTTAGCATGAGCCCAATACTCATTTTCGTTCTAGAAACAAAAAATTACAAATCAAAAGTACTATGGGCCATTGCCTTGCCGACATCGCTTGGTTTGTCCTCGAGTCCTGGACCAATCAGTATAATCCTGCCCTGCCGACGTGCCAAGTCCTTGACCTATCAATACAATCCTGCCCTGCCGACGTACTAAAAACAAAATGATAAATACTTCGACACCCAAATCCCTGATGTGCTTGCAGTCGCGATCAAGCATGAGTGGTTTTATTTAAAGAAGTAGGATCCTCTCTTTTTATATTCTCATTCTCTTTTCTCTTCTGTTTTTAATAAATTGTTTTTTGTCTTCTTTTAATTGTTAAAATATTAACATAAAACGTTAATTTAATTTAACCGTAACCATTTAAATAAAGAAAAAGAAAAAAAAAAAATAAATAAAAGGAGATAGAATCGTACTCTTTTATTTAAACCAAAACATTCTCTTTCTAGCCCCATTAATAAAAAGTATTTTTTGTATTCCCATTTTATCCTTATCCAACAATCCTTTCTACACCCGTTTTCAAAAACTGCTGGAACCCGTACCCACCAGACATGACGGCACCACCTAGACGACCACCACGTGGCTCCCTCTCAATTTTTGCTTCGCCGCGTTGTCCTGCTAGAAAAAGTAACGGCGGACCAACGAAATTTCCCATCAGGCAGTCACTCCACAACTCCGTCCACTACGTTACACGTAATTAATACTTCATTAATGCATTTCCTCCTCAAAAAGCAACTAAAGCTAACCGCCATTCATATTCTTAGCCACCACCAGTGGCAACTGCACCGCGTCTCGTCTCATATCCGGAGAACATGGACAAGCCTCTGCTCAACGGTGAAGGCAGCGGCGTCCCGCGACGCGGAGATCCACCCATCGCCTTCAAACGCCGCTCCGATGCCATCTCCTTCGGCACTCCTTACCAGAAAGCTGCCGCACTCGTCGATTTGGTCTTTCTCTCGCATTTCCCTAAATCCTCATCGTTCATCTTGCTGTTACTCTATAACAGCAATTATGCATGTTGTTTGAAATTGTAATGATCTGCAGGCGGAAGATGGCGTTGGCTTACCCGAGCAGATACTGGATCAATCAAGCTTTCAGAGTGCCGCAAAGTTCTACTTCCTTTTCTTTCGATTCAGCTTCCTTTGGGCTCTCCTCTATTTCGCCCTCATCATACTCAATTTCCTCGAGGTTCGTCTCTGCAATGTTTTTTCAAAATTTTAATTTGGGTTTTTTTGGGCCCAATTTTATGATATGGTGCTTGGTGTTTGGTGAATTGTGTGCAGAAACCTCTGTGGTGCGCTAGGTATACTGGCGCTGTCTATACATGTAGGGACAGAGACTACTTCTATCTTGGCCAATTGCCGTACTTGAATACTCTGGAGGCTCTTATTTTTGAGGTATTTCTTTTAGTCTCATTTCTGTTTCACACTCAACATTCTGATCAAGTTCGTCATATATGTTCGGTGCAGTTTCGATACTTGTTTTAACGATTTCAATTAGTTGCTTCTAGTTTACTATTGTACTACTCTACTAACGTAAGTCTGCAAAAACTTGCCCACCACTCACATTATGCTGTGCTTATGCACACATACACACACCTGCTTTTGTAAATAACGTGTTCAGTAAATTAGTCACTATGCTTGGGTGATGTGTAAATTAGACACATTACCCTCACATAGTGTAAGTAAATTGTATCCGATAGAGATGCATGCATACACGTGTAGTTGTATTGCGTTTTTGTTGTTTACTAGAAAGATGTTGTCAGAATATTCGTGGGGTTCACTTGAGCTTATAAGATGCATTTTTGAGGTTTCATTTTTATGGCCTAATTTCTGTTAACATGCATTAGACAGCTACTTTCCATTTAATGTTTGGAATTTTAAATTTTACCCTTTTCTGTGCAGGGCATAACACTCATTGTACTCGTAGTGCACATTTTCTTTCCAATTTCGTATGAAGGGTTCCATCTCTATTGGAAAAATCCTCTTACCCTATTCAAGGTAGGTGCTTGGTTTTGGCCTTATTATTGGCTGTAATATGAAAGGTTCCCTCCATTACCCGCCTTCCATAATATGAATAAATCATATTCATCTTGGTCTTCTAGCATTCTTTATGTGAATCAAAGTGCGGTGGATTTGTTGTTGCAGAGATCCAAATAATCTACATGATTTCTTTTTTGTTTCTTGGGGGAGGGGTTGATCAAATCTGGCTACTGTTGGTGCTACCTTCAACCCTGCAGATATAACTGTTATGCAGTCCTTATTGTATTAGCATCAACAATTTCAGCATCATTGTTTCTTGAGTATAATTCAGCATCATTGTTTCCTGAGTATTGTCTCAGCATCATTGGCCTTAGGCAGTCATGTGAAATTTTATTGCTTCTCCTGATGGCTACTTCATATCCATACAGAAATTTACTTGAAAATCAGAAGAGTATTTTCATTTTTATCACATACAATATCTTCGACATGTCTTTCATATTTAATATTCAAATTCTGTCTATAAGGAATAAAAATATAGTCTAGGATTCTGGATTTTGTACAGAACTACAGATAGAAATCAGTTATCTTCTAACTAAAAAAACTAAGCAAATAACCTTCCACCTAAAAATCCTTGAGAAGTTGATTTGGGGCTTTAGTTCCTTTCTGGTATATATATATTTAACAGTAGCAGTTTCATCCTTTCTAGATGTGTATATTTATATTATAATATGTGTTCTGTGCATTTGGACTTACATAACTATTGATATCTTGAGCATTATAAACAGCTTAGAAAAAAACCATTTTTTGATTTAAAAATGAATAAAATCAATGTTGAAATTAATATTTGATTTGTCCACCGACCATGAACGCCAAATGCTGTTCTTGTTTTCTATCTAGGAATGATTTTTTCTTTCAATTTTGTATTTTTTTTTCAGGTCACGTGCCTACTGATTTTGGTTGCTGATATGCTGGTTTATGCTCTCTATTTGTCTTCAGTGGCCTTTGATTCCCTTCCTTTCAGGATTGCACCATACATCAGAGTTATCTTTTTCATCTTGAATTTCAGGTATTGTGTGTAAAACCCAATTCACATGACACTTGACCGCTTGGACTTTCTTTTGCAACATTTACCACCTAACTAAACTTTTGTTACAAGATACACCTATCGTGAAGACCATTAGGCTCTCTGTTTAAAAATTATCACATGTGAATCATGTGACAAACTGCCACCTGAACTTCTTGTATGTGCCATATTGCCACTTGAAACTATTCTTTTTCTTCCAAATTAACCTTTCAATCTTATTCAAACTTTTGGGGAAAAAAAATTTAAAAACCCATTTTATGTATTTTCTTAGTTTTGATAAAAAAAAAATATCTCGGGGGTTTGACATTGTATGGCCTTTCAAAATTATTTTTTGATGGCCCATAAGATGCTATTCCAAATGCCTGATATTATTTTGAACAAAACTAAAATAAAATAAATTATAAAATGATTGCTTGAATACAGTTGGGGGATAATTTGTAAGGTTCCAGGTGATAATATGGCCAAAACAAAAAAATCAGGATGCAATATTGCAGAAAAAATTAATTTAAGTGGCAATCCGTCGCAAAATGGTGGTGATGTGACTCGCACGTGACATTTTGTTTTTAAATGGAAATCCTAAGAGTCTTGACGTTAGGCAGTATTTTGTCATAAAAGTTTAGTTCAGGTGGTCAAGTGTCACAGGGTTAAAGTTCCTGTGGTATTGCTAACATTTTTCCTTATTTTTATGCACAAGAATTTTCATATCTAAAGATTTTAAGGGCCACATAAGATGCAAATGACATTTATTTATGTATTTTATTATGTCCTTTTTCTTAAATATTTTATATGTGATCCTCATATGGACTCTTGTCCTGCTCACAAAGAGTCAAAACACAGATGCTGAGGAGTGCTGCTTGTACAGTGCCATGCATCTTCTGATTCTGTTCACATGGGAAACTACGTCCATTTCCTTCAATTTTTACCCTTCCGTATAATATAGAACTGGAGACAAATTTTCTAGTTTTTTAATTAAGGTTTACAGGCATAAATGCCTACATAGTGACAATTGGTTCTTTCAAATCATTGATGATGCCATATGGGTAATAGTTGTTGAAGCAAAACTCATTATGTTAATTATTTTTTAGCATGTATTGTGTTGTTCTTTTCCCTGCAATAACTCAAGCTTGCTTGTTTCCATTTAAGGGAATTGCGGTCGTGCATGCTCATCGTGGCTGGAATGCTTGGCACGTACATAAACGTCGTGGTTTGTTAACTATCTATTTTTGCGCTCTTATTTCTTTTGTTAGTTTCTGATTGTCTTACCTTATAGCTTTATTTATTTTATTCTTCTCTTTTTTGAATCTTATTGTGATTGATTATGGGAAGAGAGTCAGATTTGGGGAAGGTATTTGGTTGGTTAAGTCCTCTTTCCAACATTTATTTCCTACCTTCTATCGATCTTCTTTGAATTGAAAGCGTCTATCCCTTCAGTGGCAGTTCTCTGCACTTGTAGTTATTTCATGGAACTTACAAATTCCTATAAACCTCAAAGCTAGGGAGCTCAAAGTAATTGCAGACTTGTCCTTTCTTATAAGTAATGTCTCCTTGGGCTCGTGTCTAGTTGACCAAGGACCATGGTCCAGTCAGCTTCTCCTTTCAATTGGTTACAGAACAACTGGACCCTCCTCTGACCGATTTAAGATAATCTGGATGGCCGGTGTGCCAGATTAGGTGCAAATTCTCTTGGCTGGTTGATTTGGAAAGCTCTAAATACCTGTGACATGTTCTAGAGAAGATCCTTTGCGTGATTATCTCCACATTGGTGTGTGGTGTAAACTGGATGAGGAGAATGCAGACCATATTTTTCTGCACTACATGTTCATTAGTCAGATTTGTCTCCGATTGCTGCAGGTGTTCTGTTTGGTCTGAGTTTTATCTAGAAACTGCTGTGTTGGCAGGGGTTTTCATGGGTGAAGGCCTGAAGGGGTTAAGGGTTTAGGAATGGCATGGGACAAGAATATCTTTTAGAAAAGGAGGATGGTTTGGAGGTCAAATCGGGATAGAATTTATATTTTTTGTTTCTTTGTGGGATTCTTTGTCCAAACATTTTAAAGGCCGTTCCCATTGTGAAATCTTTCTTGATTGTGGAGGAGTGTTGGAGTTGGTGTATTTTGTGGAAACTGTTGCTTCAAATGTCTGTTTGCTGCTTCTGGTTTTTGATTTGCTGAAAGATTTTGTTCATATATTCTAGTTTTTGTTGGTTAACGTTATATTTTTGTTCAGCTTTTTTTTTTTAAATTCAATTCTTCTGTTCTTTTATCAAAAAAGAAAAAAGTCCATTTGTAAGGCTTCTGTGATGGTACACTTCCACTTTGTTCAGTTTCATTGAATAAAAACATTTAAACTTTTCCTGTTTTCATTGTTAATTTTTTTTTTTTCCATTGCAGGCTCTAGGGCTCTTATTTCTTCTGTTTGCCAGTTGGTTGGCCTATGTCATGTTTGAAGATACCCAGCAGGGGAGAATAGTATTTACTTCGTATGGTGTCACATTGTATCAGATGTTTATTTTATTCACCACATCAAACAATCCAGATGTCTGGATACCTGCCTACAAGTAAGTTTGACCATGAAGATGAATTAGAGCGCTCTTTTTTTTTGTTTTTTTTTTCCTTTCGGTTTTTAATTTCATCTAGTAAAGTCTGGTTCCCTTTTTCTACTGTTGAACTGAATTTTTTTAGACTTTTCGCATTTTCCCCATAATTTGGGGATTCCAGTAGGGATTTTAATTTGAGTTTATTTGACTGGTATGTCACTCTTTGGGGATAGAGAGAAATATACTGGCAAGAAATATTCAAAGAATCCTTATGCAGGGGAACCAATGAGCAGAATAACAAAGGAGTAAAAATTAAAATGAGAAATTATAAAAAGCATGTCAAGAAAGGAATGCACCATAGATCAGCTGAAGAAATGTTAGAGTTTTATTGTTTTTGGCATGGAATTTTCATATTAGGAATGAGGATATCCGGGGTAAAGTAGGAGTAGCCGAAATTGAAGGAAAGATGAGAGAAAATCGGTTACGGTGGTTTGGACATGTGCAAAGAAGGCCTACTGACGCTCCGATTAGAAGATGCGACTATGGAACAGAGGTTCAGGGCCGAAGGGGCAGAGGAAGACCTAGGAAAACTTTGGAAGAGACCCTAAGAAAAGACTTAGAGTACTTGGATCTAACGGAGGACATGACACAGGACAGAACACAATGGCGTTATAAGATTCATATAGCCGATCCCACTCAGTGACTTGGATTTTCCAAGTCTCCAACCGAGAAGTCTTCCTCACTCGGAAAATTAAGGGAACACTACCTCAACCTATATGCTCCACTCACAAAGCTTCAACATACAAGCTTTAACAAAAGAAAATTCAAAGAACTTAGCGAAGAAGGCTTTGGTGTATTTAACACAATACGTTGAAATGAAGGAAAGCTTATTTATTGATATCCCCGATAAGTTACAAATATGTACATATACTTGAGTCAAAATAAACAAACAAGAGGGAGCCTTCACAAAGGTTGCTTAGGAGAAGTCTTAGCAGTCGGTAGAGCCCCAGAAAGAGAAGGCACAGGAGGGGGATCATTCGGAGCCTCAGTACTGGACAAAACCCTAGAAGGAGGAGGCATCAGAGATTGATCATTTGGAGCTTCATTACGCGGTACAGCCCCAGAAGACGAAGACAATAAATGCCTTTGGAACAAACCCACAAATCTCTGATGATCAAGTAAAACCTGACCATCAGATTCCTTCATCTGGTCAAGCTTCCTCTTCATGTTTGTAGCATAGTCATGTGCGAGCCGGTGCAACTGTTTATTCTCATGCTTGAGCCCTCTAATCTCCTGTTTGAGACTCATCACTTCGGCCGCCAATGATTCAACTTGGCGGGTTCGAGCAAATAGGCGTTGGGCCATATTAGACACAGAACCTGCACACTGAACACTGAGAGCCAGAGAATCCTTAACAGACAACTCATCAGACCGTTTGGAAAGTAGTCTGTTATCTTTGGAAGTGAGAAGGTTCCTGGCCACTACCGCAGCGGTCATATCATTCTTCATCACGGAATCCCCAACGGTAAGAGGACCAGTAGGGGAGACGAAGGATGGGCGCCATATGTTGTCTGGAGAAGGCGGGGCTGCCTCTTCAACAAGGTTCAAGTCAAAACGACGGTCGGAGGGGCCAGACATTTTCAAAGGTGTTGAAGAGAGAAGAGGTCGGACAAATCAAGATCTTAGAAGTGCAAGAATGGAGCTTCTACTGGTGGATATTCAAGTGTGCTTTGGAACTTAATGTCAGCCCCTATAAAAATCTGCACTCGACGAAGCTTCAGAAATCGAAGAGGTGCCTGCTCAGAAATCGAAGAGGCGTTTGCTTTCTCAAAAGCTGGGCTGCTCAGAGACCACGAGGGTCGATCTCAGAAATCGAAGAGGTGTTTGCTTTCTCAAAAGCTGGGCTGCTCAAAGACCACAAAGGCCGATCTCAGAAATCGAAGAGGCTTGCTTTCTCAAAAGCTGGGCTGATCAAGAGACCACGAGGGCCGATTTCAGAAATCGAAGAGGCACCTACTTTTCTAGCCTTGTCAGCACCTGTCACACGCACACTCAGCTTTGCGAAAATTATGGGCATTCTGTCGAAGATTTCTGGCGAAGTAGAAAGCACATGAATCGTACTGTTCAATCACCCACTTCCCACACGCAACAGCAGCTCATGGGTACCACAGATAACTTTGCCAAAGTTCTCTGACAAAGTTGAGACACGTGAAGCTTGCAGCTCCCACTACATCGCTCTGACCAAGAAGGGTAAAAGAATTGCAAAGAAACAACACTAACAAAGTTTAGACACATAAATTTTGAAGGTCTAGCTACCATATTATTACTCACAAGGGTAAAGGAACAGTACCACTGCTGGATAATTGGAAAGTCCCGGTGTGTCAACCTCTGTGCTTCGTGGCAAGGTAGACTAGCAAACATGCCCAACCTTTACTCACATTCGAGAAAACATTCCTAACAAAGATTGCTTGCTCCAAAATCGAAGAGGCACCGCCCTCCGAATCTCGAGAGCCAGACTCCCAACATGATTACTTTCTCAAAAATCGAAGAGAGGGTAAAGGAACAGTACCACTGCTGGATAATTGGAAAGTCCCGGTGTGTCAACCTTTGTGCTTCGTGGCAAGGTAGACTAGCAAACATGCCCAACCTTTACTCACATTCGAGAAAACACTCCCAACAAGATTGCTTGCTCCAAAATCGGAGAGGCACCGCCCTCCGAATCTCGAGAGCCAGACTCCCAACATGATTACTTTCTCAAAATCGAAGAGAGGGTAAAGGAACAGTACCACTGCTGGATAATTGGAAAATCCCTGTGTGTCAACCTCTGTGCTTCGTGGCAAGGTAGACTAGCAAACATGCCCAACCTTTACTCACATTCGAGAAAACACTCCCAACAAGATTGCTTGCTCCAAAATCGAAGAGGCACGGCCCTCCGAATCTCGAGAGTCAGACTCCCAACATGATTACTTTCTCAAAAATCGAAGAGACACCGCTCTCCGAATCTCGAGTGCCAGACCCCCAGCAGAATTGCTTTCTCAAAAATCGAAGAGGCATCGTTCTTCGAATCTCGAGAGCCAGACCCCCGACAGGTCTGTAATCTTCACACGCAACATCAGCTTTCCAGATACCCCAAACCACTTTTTCAAAGTGCTCTGACAGAGTTAAAACATGTGAAGCTGGCAGCTCCCACTACCGTGCTATAACCAAGCAGGGTAAAGGAATAGCATTATTACTTGATGTTAGGGAGACTCCTATATATGTCGACTTCCATCTCTAACGGACAGGCAGACCTGCAAAAATGCTCAACCCTTTCTCTTATCTGAGAGGGCACTCCCAACAAAGCCTTTCGAAATATTTAGCTTTCTTTCCCCCCGATAATACCTCTGTAAACAAGCTATACTAGAGCAAGAATATCTCATATCATCAGGGTTAAAAGCAAGAGTATCCCATATCATGCTTTTTCCCTGTCTTTTCCTTTGGCCTTGTTCTTACCTGCAAGACAAGGAGAAAGAGAGCAATCAGTCAGCACTTGGAATCAAGCTTCCAGCCAGGAACTGACTGCCTGGAACCCCTTACCTGATTACTTACCTGGCATTGCTCTCGAGTACTCATCTTCAACATCTTATGCTTCCCGGGAAGATACCGCATCTGCCTGAGGAACAGATAGGGCAAGTGAGAAGGATACAAGGAAGCATGTGGAGACAAGCGTAACAGCACACGTGCCGATACATCCACTACTCTATCAAAAGCAAAAGTATCCCATATCAGCAGGGTCGAACGTACTCTAGATTTGATGGACTTGTTTTGACCCTCAAATTCTTCAGTCGGCCTTATACTCTGGAGGAAACCAGAAAACCCTCCAGCCCAGTTCAAGAATAAGCCTGTGGAAAGTTACTTCTTCAAAAGCAAAAGTATCCCATATCATCTCTCCTCATTTTTCTTCTCTTTATCCTTCATGCTGCCTGCAAGATAGGGAAAATGTGAACAATCTGCCGGAGCTCTGATTGCTTACCTTGTCTGTCACCTCTTTCAGCAGATCCCCCAGCTCGGCGACTTGGGGGACTCCTACTACATGGTTTGTATCTCGCTTGACCAAGCATGAAACTACAAGTAAGCTTCAAGTGAAATTGATACATTACCTTGTGCATCTCCACCAGTTACAGATACCACCCCTGGATGGAGGAAGAGTACTTCCAGAGAAGATGCCACATCTACCTATGAGACAGATAAAGGCAAGTCAAGACGATACCACACTCCGGTACTTAGAAGTTTCGTGGTTACGATATCATTCTCCCACAATATTTCCTAATGTCATTTGTACTAAATCATTCACTTGTACTCACTAAAGGAGAGCTTGAACCTATGTACTTGTGTAAACCCTTCACAATTAATGAGAACTTCTCTATTCCGTGGACGTAGCCAATCTGGGTGAACCACGTACATCTTGTGTTTGCTTTCCTATCTATATCCATTTATATACTTATCCACACTAATGACCGGAGCAATCTAGCGAAGATCACAAAAAGTGACCGTTTTCGCTACCTAGGATCTATCTTGCAAGAGAACGGAGAATTAGATGGAGATCTCAACCATAGAATACAAGCTGGATGGATGAAGTGTAAGAGTGCATCCGGCGTGTTGTGTGACCGTCGTAGGCCACTAAAGCTCAAGGGAAAAATTTTATAGGACGGCAATAAGGCCAGCGATGTTGTATGGCACAGAATGTTGGGCGGTGAAGCATCAACGTACACAAAATGGGTGTAGCGGAGATGAGGATGCTTCGTGGGATGTATGGGCACACGAGAAAGGATAAGATTGGGAATTAGGTTATCCGAGGTAAAGTAGGAGTAGCCAAAATTGAAGGAAATATGAGAGAAAATCGGTTCCGGTGGTTTGGACATGTGCAAAGAAGGTCTACTGACGCTCCGGTTCGAAAATGTGACTACGGGACAGAGGTTCGGGGCCGAAGGAGTAGAGGAAGACCTAGGAAAACTTTGGAAGAGACCCTAAGAAAAGACTTGAGTACTTGGATCTAACGGAGGACATGACACAAATGAGCGCAATGGCGTTCTAGGATTCATATAGCCGACCCCACTTAGTGGGAAAAGGCTTTGTTGTTGTTGTTGTTGTTGTTGTTGTTGTTTTGTTTTAGCTTGTGAACATTGTTCGTCCTCTTAAAGTTGGCATTAACAATTCTAGCTTTTTAAAGTTTCATATTACAGGATGTGAGCTTTTATTCTTCACATGTGATCATTGGTTCTATTATTTAATGAAATTCCATTTTCTTCTTATTCAGGGCTTCACGTTGGTTTTCCTTGTTTTTCGTTATCTATGTGCTGTTGGGAGTTTACTTTGTCACGAACTTGATTCTTGCTGTTGTGTACGATAGCTTCAAAAATCAGGTGTATTTCATGTATTTACTGTCTGCTCTTAACGATCACATGGGATGACTTTTGTATTTAGTTATATCTAGTATCCACTCGTTTAGCCGCTGCTTGAGTTTACTACACTTAAAAGTTTTGATGTGATTATTTTTTGTAATTTTCAAGAAGAACATGAATGTAAGTGCTTATTTGTAATTTTTTTGTAGCTTGTGAAACAAGTTTCTGGGATGGACCAGACAAGGAAAACTATACTAAAGAAAGCCTTCAATTTATTAGACAAGGATGTAAGTAATTGTTTCCCCTCATTGATTAGATCTTACAGAAAAATAAGAGATAGGAGTAAGTTTGCACATTTATTCTTATCTTTCTCATCTGTGTACTATTACTTAGTGACCGCTCAGCTGTTGATCTTTCAACATTCCAGAAATTGTTCTTTTGATTTTCTTTGAGTTGATGATTCTTTTTTCTTTTCTCTTATTCCTCTCTCTCCCCCCCAACAAAAAAAAGAAAGAAGAGAGTTTTAGATCTGTTGAGCTTAAGGTTGTACTTCAGTTTTAGGTGTTTCTCCTGTGTACTTGTAGGGCTCCTGCTTGTGGGTTTTTGAAATTATTCATGAGCCAGAATGATAAATGATTCCCGATAATATGGGATTATGAATAGGATTGAAAAGATGATCCCTGTTCGTGAATGCTAATGAAAGTTTAATAATTGGCGATGATCCTTATTCTCTGGGTTATCTTTCCTTTAACTCTGTTAAGTGCCATCCTTGTTATCGGTTTTGTCTCTCTCTTTTTCACCCCTCAGAAAACAGTGTTTATTTCATTTATGACAACTTAGTTGACTTTTAGTCTTTTACTTTGAATTGAAGGTAAAATATAATCATCACAATTACAGTACACTTACATGGAAGTTTTTTCTGTGTTTGAGTGTGGTTGTTGTTATGTTTGAGTTTGACATAACTTCTATTTTTATGTTTTCCATGTGATAACTGGTCTAAGTCTTCCATCAATTTGTCCTTGACAGAATGTAGGATATCTCAATAAGGATCAGTGTATACAACTATTTGAGGAACTAAATAATTACAGGTATTGCAGTCCAATCTCATCTATATACTGTCAATGTTCCATGTATAATCTTGAGCTCATTTTGGTCGAATGTGAAAGCGGATGCTTAAAGTAGAACAGGTACATTGAGAAGTAGTTGAGTGAAAATATTACTTTGATCCCTCATTTAGTGTCTAGGATTGGCTTCAATTGGATAACTCCTAGATTCCATGAAGTTGAACAAAGAAATGATGTAAACTGGCATAGTTTGTCCAAGTAAAAAGTGGAATATGCGTTTGTCATGAAGAAAAATTAGCCCACCCAGTCCTACCATTTCTGTGGGGATTTGAAGGGACAAGTTTTCTTGATGACAGTCCATCTTCTATCTTCAACTTGGACAACATATGCAAGTTAACATCCATTCATTCATTCAACATTCATTGAATCTAGGGAGCTATCCGATTCAAGCCAATCACAGACACCAAACGAGGCTTGAAGGTTATTTCTGATCTGGGGATCTGTCATTGAGTTTTAACATGCGTTTGCACTTTTTTAATTCCTTTAAATTATCTACTCGCCATATTTTGAGCTGCTCTACAAAATCTGTGTCGGATCAGTTTTAGTTGTGGGCTCACCCAGGTCCGTTACACAACAATTTCTAACAGTCGCAATAGTTTGGTCCTGTGCCTCTTTTGTGTTTGTTTCAGATACCGACTAGTTTCTTATTACACTGTCAGTGTTTCATTCTCTTGCAAATGTTTCCATGAGTGAATCGTATCGTGTGTGTGTTTTTTTTTTAATATTTTGTGATATAAATCTTGCAGATGTTGAACCATGCCTTTGTTTAAATTTTTTTAGGACTTTGCCAAACATAACAAGAGAAGAATTTGAGCTGATATTTGAAGAGCTGGATGACAGTGGAGACTTCAAGGTAGATTGAATTGCTTGTAAGCCTTTATTAGACTATTTTTTTAGTATCTTTTATGCAGGATAAATTTGAGTTTTTGATATGACTGGGTTAAAAATAGCTTTGATGGCCTCTTTCTGATTTGTTATTATTATTTTTCATTGTACTGCCATTCTTTGATACAAGCTTATGTTGGCATCTTGTATGTCTTGCAACTCCATTATTTGCTAAGTTTCATGTGGTCATTATCATTTGTGGACTCTACATCCCTGATTTATTTGTTGGACATTTATTTGTTTCACTGGTAGATAAACTTAGAAGAGTTCTTTGATCTTTGCAATGCCATTGCTCTAAGATTCCAGAAGGAGGATTCTGTAAGTTGAATTTCTTTGGACCAAAGCACAAGAAAATTGCTTGTTATTATTTAATATATGATGGTGAAGTGCTCTTATACTGCACTTTTGATGATTTAAATTTTTGGTGCAGCCCTCTTTGCTTGAAAAGTTCCCTTCAATCTACCATTCATTGTTCTCTGAAAAGTTGAAGACCTTCGTCAGGAGTCCCAAATTTGGATACATAATATCCTTCATGCTCATAGTCAATCTGGCTGCTGTTATTGTCGAAACAACGGTATGGCTTGAAATCCAACATAACTTGCATTAATGCTCTACAGAAATCATAGTATACATGTGTACTATAATAAATTTAAATTGTCAAGTTATAATAGACTATAGGTTATAATCGTGTCAACACGATACGATTATCTCACGTTCATGTCAATGTTACATGATTACTAAGCGTGCCAATTCGTCTTGTATTCAAGTTAGGTGGTTTACCCAATACACAGACTGTTTATTAAAGTCTTGAACTGGTTTAATGGAACATGGTAATACTCATTACTAATCTGCTAACTACTTGTGTTGGAGTTGTGTTATTCTGTCATATAAAAACTGGCCACACCTTGAGAACCACTTTTCTTTAGGGGCTCAAGGCCCCATCTCAAGGGGCTCAAGGCCTCCTTCTCAAGGGGCATTGTGATGGCCGATGTTTATGTGTATCTTGCACTCATATGTTGAGTCTCACATCCGCAATGTACTTGGGTATATAAGAAGGAAGAAGCTCATTAATGATTTGTGCTTTGGGCAATACTCTTGGTCGGCATTTGGATGCCCCATCTCAGGGGATGTTGGAACCCCTATCTCCCCCAACCTAATTGTGGCTGGAGAACCTTTTTTTAATGTTCTTTTTTATTTGTTCCTTCAATTTTATTTTTTGTTATTTGGTTTTCAGTTTTTCCTTTTAAATAATGTTGTGGTATACCATGTCTTTGTCAGATTTCCCTTTAGATTATTGGTTCTGATAATGATTGGAGTATCATCAATATTCTATACACCATGTAAGAAGGACTTGACTGTTTTTTATTTACAGTAACTTTGCGCTGACTGACCTACATGGAAAGATAATGAACAGTTCTGGTGTTAAGCTCGAGAGAAACATTGATGCTTGTGTAGTTGCTCTCTGGTATTGAAAAGGATATTGAGAGAACCCAAATGACATGCCTGCATTTGTTCCTTATGTGTTGATAATTCAGATATATGCTTGTCAATACAAGAAAACTATCTCATTTATGTTTGTGTGTGATCTGCACCATGCTTCATTATCTACAAAGGGTTCAATAGGAATGTTAAGCCACATTATCAATTGATGTGATTACTTTTAAGTCGATTATTATGATCCATGCTAAGTTGAATTTGGTGCGTTCAGCTTGATATAGAAAACAGTACTGCTCAAGAGGTGTGGCAAGTGGCAGAGTTTGTTTTTGGTAAGGGCTTGCTACAACATTCTCTTATCGTACTGTCTTTATTGGAATGGTAGTTGAATAATGATCTGTATGGCTGCCACACAAAATCTACTTTTGGTTTGGAAGATGTTTATAGCCAGCTAAATTCTAGGATGTTCTAGAACTTGTGGCTGGAGGTCATTTACATCTAAAGTTAAGCAAATTCATATTTTCAACCAATAAAGTACTTCAATTTCCAGTTTCTGATTGCAAATCGACAGAATGTGTAAATTATCTTGTCATTGTTGACGATCAGGTGCATTTTCTTTTGGTTCTCTCAGCCAATGGGTGAAGTCAGTTATTGAGAGCTATTTATGAGGGCCTTAGCTTTAACTTGTTCAAATGGTTTGCTTTGTGCCTCACAGGGTGGGTATATGTACTGGAAATGGCTCTGAAAGTCTATTCTTTTGGATTTGAGAACTATTGGAGGGATGGTCAAAATCGCTTTGATTTTCTGGTGACATGGATAATAGGTAACCAGTACAGACAGTCACATCCCTGTTTCTTCTGTATTGTACTTCATTTTTTTCTTAAATTCGTGAAACATTCGTATTTTTTTTTTGTCCACTTAATTCAAAACTTCAATGATGGATGAAGTTACTCAATTGTAAACCACAATGGTCCTTTGCACGTGTGCCCTCCTGGTAATTCATGTATGTGGCCGTTGCCTGAAGTTTTTTAACCATTTCAGTAAAAACAAATATTAAAAAAATTGAAGAAAAGAAGGTTATTGTTACTCAATATTTGACCCAATGAGGCTCTTGGAAGCAGACGATCATGAGAAGCACAGTCAAGTGTCTCACTTGTTACAACTGCATGCCCATGGGCATATAGCTTGCCAAGCAGGCCTTCTCTGACACCACAATCTGTACAGATATACACACATTCACTTGCAATGGTTTCATCAACTTGCAATGGTTTCATCAACTTGCTTTTGTGTAACTTGATAATTTAAACTACTACCTGAATCTTCATATCCTCCGTTTTATATTTGGGAATAAAGGACTGGTCAGCCTAAGTTCACAATCTTCTGATCTGATATTAAACTTCTGTTCTTATCATCAAATATGTTTTTGACGAAAATGTTCATTATTATGTTTTCTAATGATATTGTTCTTTAAAATAATTCCAATCATATAAAGCTCTTCTAAGTAATGGTCAATATACAGTTTGACTCTGTTTCCTTGCAATTATTTTGCATATACCTCACTGCTGTTATGATTTGTGCGATTTACTTAATTCTAGGATTGATTAGTTGATTGACTGTAATAGATCACTTACGCATTAATGCGATTCACTTTAGGCTATGTTTGTGCTATTTCTAGTTGGAATTGAATTTGGATTTGATACGTATCTTTCTTAGCATTCTCAGATACAGTATTTCAGTAACGAATGATACTTTTTGCAGTTATTGGGGAAACTATAACTTTTGTGGCTCCTGAAGGACAAACTTTTCTTTCAAATGGAGAATGGTAAGGGATGAAATTCTTATACTCTGTGCTGTTAGCTTTCTTATATTTCTACTGTGGACTGGTCCTAATGTTTTTCAATGAATATCTTCTACTTTAGACCTCTCCCAAGTATACATTTGTCATCAACATTATTGTACATTCTACATTGGTTTTGCTTTTGATATACTTGGTTTCTTCTCCATGAAAAGCAAGGCATTAATGTAAGATGTATTTGTAGTTTATGAGCATTTGAGATTCGTATTTGGTTCGAAACATATCCAATCAGCTTATGTAAACACTTTGTAAGAATATATGGTAATTGAATTTCTCGTTTTCTTGTTAACAGGATTCGCTACCTTATAATTGCAAGAATGTTAAGATTGATTAGGCTCCTGATGTATGTCCAGCGCTACCGGGCATTTGTTGCTACCTTTTTAACTCTCATACCGAGTTTGATGCCGTACCTTGGAACCATATTTTGTGTCATGTGTATCTATTGTACACTCGGTGTACAGGTAATACTCGTAATTTTTCTTTTTACTTGTATAATATGTGTACAACGAACAAATATGCTTCATATGGGCGCAATTCCAAATAGGCCCTCATGGTGTCTTGTGTTGTGTGACAAAGAGAACAAAATTTAGGCCAAAATATGTAAAACAAGGATCCCACAAAAAGCACAAAAGGATTAACGTGCTTTGGCTTGTAGGCCTACGTCCACAGGCAGCAACAGCTAGCAAATTCAACTAAAATCAAAGGGAGAGTACAAAAATCCAAACCCAAAAGAGCAACGAACAGACTCTGGAAAAAAAGAAGAGAAACCTATGTGCTTATTATGTAATATTCTTGAGGATTAATTTTTTAGGTATGCACTAAAAAATTAGATGAAGGGACTTGAAAATGACTAGATGCATTTCTTTTGAGAGAACTTTCAACAGACACCTTTCAAGGTGTCCTATTGAACGTTCTTTGTTTAATATTGTTGTAGTGCAATTCTAGTGTTTCAGTACTAGCTTTGTAGTGTTTGAGTAGTTCACTTGTAGTCTAAGGTTCCTCATCCAAGCATAGAGTTAAGGAATTGGAATCCTTAGAGGACAAAAACAAAGAGTCTTGATTAGCAAATAAAAACCTGACTCTGCCAATGGGACCAATATAAGGCCAAGTAACTGGCTTAAAAGGTAAGCCACATGATAATATCTTGCTCTTCATTAGCATTTATGTCCTATGGTGGGTCTTAGGAGAAGTGTTAATGACTTTACTGTACACACACACACACAAATATATAGGACCCCTTGGGGATTCCTCTGGAGCGTTTCATTGTTCGGGGCACCTTGCAATGAGGTTCAATAATCCATGCAGTCTAGTATTTAGATCCCCATCAAGAATCATCCTTGAAAACCTTCATTGAAATAAAAAAAAAATAAATAAATAAAATCAAGAATCAACCCTTAAAAACTTCACCTGAATAAAAAATCATTTGACCATTTGATTGTCATCATTAGCCTTTTTCTTTTAAAAGGAACATTGTGTTTGTCCATTTCTTATGTTATTGTTTGATGACTAGTACACACGCACACAGGTTTAATTATCAAAATTCCCCCTAAACCATCACGAAAGTATCACTTGACCCCATGCTTATTTGAGGGACACCTTTCTGAGGCAGAGAGTGGTTAATGAATGCATCAGAAGTTATATGGCATGACATCTTCCGAGCCCATTGTGATATGCTTACTTTTCTGAAACTATATCAAACTTTCAACCATTATGCTAATAGTATATCTGTCTCTAAGGACTTCTTTCCTTCTTAATTTGTAGGTATTTGGTGGAATTGTTAATGATGGAAATGCCTTGCTGGAAGGATCTGAGCTTTATGAGAATGAGTATCCTTTGTCTTTGATGGAACTGTTGACACTAAACCTGCGATATTTAGTAGAATATTGAACAGGATGGCTCTTATCTTCTTTAGCTTCATTCCCTTAAGTAGAATATTGATAAAAGCTGGCATAATTTACTGTTAACTGTCGGGAAAATTCCTTGTTAAATTTGTTGACTTTCTTGACAAAATCAGCTATTTACTTTTCAACTTCAATGACTACCCCAATGGGATGGTAACACTTTTCAATTTGCTAGTCATGGGAAACTGGCATTTGTGGATGGAGGTATGTAAATGTCCCAGCTTTCTCTTTTCTATTAAGTAATATTGCATATATACCCCTCCCTTACACACGCACGACCCTTCTCCCCACACTCTGGTTAGGGCAAAGGGAAAGGCCCCTTAATAACTTGGTACTTAGGACCGACCTAATACAGAGATGGAAAATCTTGGGAATTTGTCGTAGACAAATAATACATGTGAACCAAATCCAAATAGTCTTTTCTATATAACCCATAGTGGATTGGACTGGTTCTGTTAAATACCTTGACTTAAGACTTTAAATCTGTTGGTGACAGATCAAGAGCAAATAATCTCTTGTTGCTGATGATGCAAATAATCCCTTGTTTTGCATAACTTTTGAGGATGCTTTTCTATATAATTTGTAGTGCTCATTCATCCATTTATATTTCATTGGGTTTTTTTTTTTTTTTTTTTTTTTTTTTTTTTTTCTTTTTTGCTTTTCGCTTCTTGAGGTTTTTGACTTTTGCATAATTCTTGCATACATTTGTTATTGTACATTCCTGTTCTGTAAGGAATCAATTGGAGCACTTTTAAGCAATACTAACCACTTTTCAAAGTAGATATTGTTGATGGAGCTCATTTGTTGACCATATGGTTTAGGAGCGTCTTGAAAATTAAATCAGTTTTTATTAACTTTTTACCAAAGTATAGATGAAATACTTGCTATTATGACCCTAATCATATGTTTTACTATTTCAGGGTTATCAGGAAATAACAGGAACTTGGTGGAGCGTTGTATATTTTGTCAGCTTTTATCTTGTAACTGTTGTTCTGCTATTGAACTTGGTGAGTTACCAAAAATGCCACTAAAATGTTTCATCTGTTTTCTGTTTCATGTATTGTAGACGCACAATGCTCTATTACATGCACACATGCAAATATCTCCTTGTATGCATATGGAATTATGGATGCAGGTATACATGCAATCATACATAAATCATTATGAATGTAGGCCTCAAATTTCGCATTGTGCATTAACCCTATTGTGAATAACTTTTTAACATCTTACATTAGAAAATTGCAACTATAGATTTACAAACTGCTCCAGTTGCATTTCTTATTTGAAGAGCACAACTATCATAGTCAGTTATTTTCTACAATGATTAGGGGAACAGGTTGCTATCACCTGAGTCAACCCAAAATTTAACTGAGCAGGGCTTTTAGACCAGCTAATACCCTAGCACTTGGCAAAGTAGAGGACTGTAAATTGAAGCTCATATAAGGCCACCATAAAAGAAAATGGTTTGTGATAAACTCAAACGATGGATAAAGTCCTATATAACATAAACCCAATCAGCAAGCAAAAGGAAATTTTAAGTTCATTTTCAGTTTGTTTCTTTTGTAGATTATAACTAAAGGATTTCAAACAGGTGCACATCCAACAGCATTATGTTTTTGAGAGTACTAGTTTTTCCCACTACTTTCATTTTCGTTATATAATAACTTTCTATATAATATTGTTGGAGTGGTATGTTTTTTATTTAATTATGAATAGATTAGCAAATGTTCTTAGTAAAGAAATATGAGATCTTACATCATCTATGTGCCAAATCAATCATCGGAAATGATGTGATCTTGGCGTTTATACGAAACTTTAATTGGACAATTGAATGAAGTGGTCTCAAACACTGGCTTCCTTGTGCTTAGCATGGGTCTTTTGTATATTGTTATGCACATCTCTCAGTTTCCCTAAAGAAATTACAGAATTTAAACTGGTAAGTTTGTGTTTTCGTGTTTTTGTTTCCATGTAATTTCAGGTCATGGCTTTTGTCCTGGAGGCGTTCTTTGCTGAAATGGATCTTGAGTTATCAGAAAAATTTGAGGAGGTCAGTATCTTCTGGGAAAATTTATTCTCCAAGTTGAAAGAACAATTTCAACTTTGGCGCCAATTCATGAAAAAAATTCACACTTTTTATGGGAATTCAAATTAACAGGGAAGAGAGTGGTATCTTTTTCTTCATGTAACTCTGAAATTTGAAAATCAATTTTTTTTTAGCATACAAAAGCAGGATTAAGGGTACTTTGAAAATGTTATGGGGGTTGGTGTTATTATTCATATGATTCCGGCTGCCCTTAATTCCTGCTGTGGGGACTCCTTGTGCACACATATCAAATGTACATTTTCAAATAAAAACCAATTAATACCACCGTGTTGTTTAAAATGTTGATGTTTCCCAATATTGTTCATGCATGAAATGGATGATTTGACAGCTGGTTAATTTATTTTGATGCACTCTATTAAGTACCAGCAAAAGTAGTTTTTTTAGACGATTTGGTTTTTGTACAGAGTTTTTCATTAATGTATTCGGAGCATTAAAATATTTTATCTCATACCAACCCTGAAAATTATGGTTATAATGCATCATGTAAAATAGGCATCTGACCACTAACAATTCAGTGTTACCTAATGATTAAGTTTTATCCTGTTTTATTAATTTAGGGGGAAGGAGCAAAAGATCGACGTCGATCTTTGGGGTAAGTATTTCTAAAAATTTGTGGATGCGTCAAGTTGGTACCCTATGTTTAAAGTGTTTGGATAGCCTAAACTCATATCTTGGGTTTTGTGCAGCTCCAAAACTCAGAGCCAGAGAATTGATGTTCTTCTTCACCATATGCTGAGTTCAGAGCTAACTCAGACACAACCCTTCAATACAGCATAGAGATTCCTTCCTTTTCATCAAGGTAAAAAAAAAAAACTATTATTACTATATTAATTGTTATTATTTTTGTTATTTGCTCTTACCTTAGTTAACTGCAAATATTTAATTCCTTCAAAATTTCGTTTAAGCATCAGACTTTTAAATATGAATGCACAATATCCGGATAAATAATTATATTTTGCGCTTCTATTCATACTCCACCAAAACTTTTCTGAATGTCAAGTTTGTTCCCCTTTTTCTTTTGAGTTACTGTCAAATTTATTGGTTCATAAAAACAATTGAGTACGAATGGCAGAGGTTATAGAAAAAGAAAAAACATTTTCACTTGCTCTTCTTTATTCACGTCACCAATACCTAAACCCTATCGGCACACGTTTTCTTCACCCTAAAACACTCAAGTAAACCCTACGCCACCTTAAACTCACAAAGCTCACTCATTGATGTGATGGGTGCTAGTAAACCCTAAGCCACAACTCATAATTCACACTGCTGCAAGGAAGTTGTTTTTAGTGAATGGATGCTCAAGTTCTTACCTATAGGTCTTCAGAGGAGACTCTACCCACTGTAACCACTGGTTCTGGTTCAGTTGCTCCTGGTGTTCTAGGCAGTGTACCCATTGGTTCTTGTCATCTTTGCCATGCATCCAGCCATTATGCTACCACCTGTCCTTTGCTTTCTCAACTGTGAGTCCCCTGGTAACTAACTCAATGCAGAATGCCTTGTTGGTTTTCTGATTGTGGCTGAGCTTCCTTCTCACGTCGTTCAACCAAGTCTTCATCTTCCCTCAAGGACCCTTCTTCTCCTGTTCTTCAATAGTCTTCTCCCTTTCTCGCCTTTATGGAAAACTCCCATCCTATTCAGTGATGGGAGTCATTGTTGTGAGTTGTGATTGTTATCCGTATTTGGTGCCTATCTAACGAACAACCCTTTTCGCTTTTCATAGACTATTGAGTTTTGAAAGGACTTGTTACAACCCATGACCTCTGCTAAGGTAATTTCCTTGGTCGAGTTGTGTTGGATTTTTTATGATGTGTGTCTCTCGGCACTTTTTGGACATTGTGTCTAGCAGGCACGCCGTCTTTAGTAAAAATTAACGTTCAATGACCAGTATGTGACTTTTAGGGAAGGAAAATTTGAGGGAATGTGGCATATGATGGTAGGGGTAATTTACCATTTACATTTATGTGCTTCTTGGCAGATTGTCTTTGTGGAGCTAGAAAACGGTGCAAGGTAATATCAACAAGAGGCGAGCTGCCTTTGTGTTCAGATTCTCCAGCTGTGCTTAAATTCAAATCATTTTGGAAGTGAGACATTGCTGGATTCGATTCCATAGTTGTTGCTCATGTACCATATTTTGGCCGTAGAGGTTCGATCAATCAGAGATTTTACCATGTATCTGTTTCTGGTAAATAATTTTGTTCTTTCATTACAGTTTTTGCTACTGATGATACGCTCGTTTTCATCGTATTTGTATTGTTAGTTGATTGTACAAACAAAACCACAATGGCATCTCCTGTATGTACATACGTATACTTTTTGGGGAAATAACCAGAAATAGGACATTTTCTTAATCTTGAGACAAAAATAGAACAAACCGACCATGCACAAGTCATGCACACTATGCACAAAATCGAAAACTAAAATACTCATAAAAAATCATCAGCCCATTGCATTGGAAGAGAGGAATGTCGAGAGAGCTCCGGGTTCCTAGGTTGAGCTCGTATCTCTAAGCTCCAATTTCGGAGAAAGGGAAGTCCAAAGAGAGGTGAGAAGAGTGAGTTGGGTTTTGGGTGACCTCATACCTTTGATTTTGAACAAAGAATGCGAGAGAAAGATGAGAAGAGTGAGTTGGGTTTTGTACCATATTTTTTGTTTTGGTTGGAAAGTTCCATATTTCTGGCGACTGAAGCTTCGGCAAGCATAGTAAGGTAGTGTGTTTAGCTTCTTGTTCCTTCATCAATGATTTATGGAATAAATGAGTTGTTTGTAATATGAATTAATACTTAAAAGTTACATTAGGGGTTTGTGTTTCATGTTGGGGTCTATGGGTGAGTGGAATAAATTTCAAGTTTTGATGTGCTACGAAACTGGAATGAAACAACTTCTTATTCAAAGTGTGTAGTTGCAGAAATTTGTGAAATTTTTTCCATAATGTGCATGTGGTGTGCATCCAGTGTTCATGGTTACATCTTAACAAGAGAAGTGATAATGCTCACTAATTATGGTGCACGTACGTTGCACTCGGAATTTAGCGAGTATGACCACAACCTAGTTGTCCTCGGTGAAAAACAAAATTAAGAAAAAGCTTAGAGGACGTTAAGGGTCATGCGTGTCCATGAAATAACGAGTATCATGTTTTCAACGTACACGGTTAAGTGGTGATTGATATACGTAACAAGACTTTTCAAACTGCCATTGTAATCATATATATGCAACAATTATGTTTTAATTGTATCCATTATACCAATAGGTTGCTGTTAAAGTTTCTTATTAATGCGAAAAGCAGCTCGTTGCTCGATCTCCAGTTATGTGGATGTATTATACATATGATGTGCATGTGGGGTGCATATATTGTATATGGTTGTGACGTCACTAGTGATGATGTCATTTTTCTGATTTCGAAGAGAGAGCTGTGAGATCTGAGTTTTTGGGTCAGCTCAGATCTGTGAGCATATCATGTGCATGTTATGTACATACAGTGAGCATATCCTGAAAAATTCATCCAATAAAACACAAATTGCCAATTTTTAGTAAATATGATCACAACATTCAAACAAGCTAGGGAACCTCATGATATAGAAGAGGGAGAAATTGATTAAATTTTGTTTCACTATTACTTCTTACAGCTCTTGGGTTTATTCTTCCCTTCCCCAAATATGAAAAAACTCACTTCTTTAATCCCACTAATCTGCAAATATTGGAAGGAAGAGTAAACAACAAGCGAGTTTTCTTATTTTTTGGTCAAATAACAAATGGGTTTTCTTATTTTTGGTCAATGACAAATGAGTTTTCTTGTTTAGGTGGTGTTGACCCCTCATGTTCATGATGTTCGTGGAGAGAGAGAGAGAGAGAGGGCTTTGTTTCTAGCATCGTGTGTGCACCAGCATTTAATGATTGGGCTTTGTGTCCTACCCTCGATGTGAGTCCAATGGTGTTGATCTTGAGCCTCGAATGTTTGTCATGTTGTTGGAAAATGGCCAGAAAACTCTTGAGCCTCGATTGTTTGTCGTGTTGTCGGAAAATGGCCGGAAAACTCGCGGCCTACTTGAGTTTCGATCCCAACGATCGGGAATGAGATTCGTGACAAGGCTAAGTGTTTTGGATTGGTGAGGATGAGATGAAATTGGTGGTGGCTTCATTTTAGACGGTGTTGGTCGGGACGATTGTGCACCGTGTGTGCACAGTGAGAGTGGGAGAGAGAGTGCGTGAGGGAGAAAGTGAGAGAATAAAGGAGGGAGAGAGAGAGAGAGTAGAGAGAGAAAAATAAGAAAATGGGAGGAAATAACCCATTTATATTTGAGGGCAATTAAGTCATTTTAAGGTGTAAAGAAAAATCATATTTCTGTCTGATTGTTGTGCATGGCATGTGCATGTCGTGTGCATATTCGATAAATCGTATTTTTGTCCCAAGATTAAGAAAGTGTCTTATTATGATTATTTCCCTATTTTTTATTACCAGTCCTTTCAGGAGGGTGTAGTCAAATTAGGATTTCCTAGGATTTTAATAGAGTTTAAAATCTAGGGATAGTCAATCATGATTTTGAAAGAGGATTTTAAAAGACTTTGAAATCATCGTGTAGTCAAATTAGGATTTAAGAGGATTTTAAAGAATACATTCAAATCTAAGGGTAGTCGATTAGGATTTTAAAAAAGTCCACACAATTCTAGGGGTAGTGAGAATACCAATGATTTGCTAGGATTTTACTGGGAGAGGGATTTTGATGGATTTGAGGGTGGCGGTATAAATACCAAATACCATTAAGAATCCAATCATTACACCTTTGATTTCTTTTTGTGGTACTGTCTTCCACCAGAGACACAACTAGGTTTGCCTTCTCCTTCTTTCTTCTGTTTGCATACCAATCTTTCGTCGAATTAGGGTTTGTTTTCTTCAGAGTTTGTTTTGGGATGTATTTTTTCTGAAAGTCTTTTTAGAGGAGGAAGGTTGCATATATTCACAGCTTGGGCATGTTCTTACCCTCTTGATTTTTCAGTTCACTTTTCTTCACAGTTTCTACTTTGATTATTCTTTTGTTTACCAAGACAATCTTTTTCTTTAATAGGAGAGAAAAATTGAATTCACCAAAACTGTAACAATTTTTGGGTGGGTTAGACGCATGCAATTGAAAAAATATTGGGTTTTTTGTGGATTTGATTCAATTCGTGAATTTGCCAATTATGTTTGTTTTTGTTTGATTAGAAAATGGAAAGACATTGTTTTTGGGGAATTCCCTTTGTTGGTTTGGTGAGTTAGGGTTACGCAAATTTGGCCTGCAGGTTGTTTGATTAATGCTTCAAAGAAGTATCTAACTAATAGTTGGGTTTTTTTGCTCCTTTTTTGTCTAATGAAGTTCATGTTGGTTTTAATTGCTTTTTGTATAATATTTGTAATGTTGTGGGAATTTTTTACATGAATTGATGTTGCTTAGATTTTGGGTTGATATGTATAACTTATAATTTGAAATGGTGGAAGAACAAATTGGGAAGAAATGTATTAGCCACTTGTAACTTTGATAAAAATTCATGAAAAAAGTCCACACAAATCTTAAGAAATCCATACAAATCTATAATTTAGAAATCCATATAAATCTACGAACATCTGTCTATACTTGTAGAATTTATTAAAATCCTTTGAAATTTGTCACTTCAAAAAAATCTATTAAAAATTTGAAATCCAAATTGACTACATCCCTAAGTTTTTAAGACGTATTGTAAATTTGTAATGACTGAATCAGCCAACGATCTTTGGCGTCTTACATTTTTATCTTAAGGCACGGCGCATGCATGTAGTTTAAGGTTTTCTGTAAAACATTTTGTTCTTAACAGAAAAAAGATCTTTAACGCGCGGTGCATGTTTAAGGTTTTCTGCAGTCCATTTCACACTTTGGTCCGCCTGGGGACTCATTTGAAAAAAGAAATTGGAAGGAAAATAAAACAGAAAGAAGAATGGTCCATGGTTGGTCAGTTCAAGCATTATCAACTCTTATAAGCTATAAGGCAAGTGTAATTCAACTCTTGAAATTGTTCTTTACAAATTGGGTAATTTGTTACTCTTTGCTAGCAAACATTTGGAAAGGGAAGCTGCCTTGCTTCTAAAACCTTAACTATGAAGTTACTAATTATACTTTAATCTGTTTTAGCCTTAAATTAGATGATAAGGATCCGATCCCAATTTGATGCTTATGGATTGACAAGTTTGATCCCATGGTTTGAATACAATCCGGATCCGCTGATTTGATTATAAACAGATCAAGGTTGATCCGTTTCCAAGTCTGCTCGAGGCCTAACCAAAAAGAGTTTTTTAGTGTACTAAGAATACGGGCCAGTACACCACATGTCATAATAAAAGTGAAGGAACACTTGAAAAAGAAATTCTCTCCACATGCATTTTGACATGTGATGTACCGATTAGTGTTCTAGTCACATGAAAAATTCTCTCCTAACCAAGCCGCACAACGAAACAATATTTTAATCTCTGGAATGAGGACGTCAAACCATTAATTAGTTGAAGATTAGCATTAGTGTGGGAGCATATTATCGCTCCATTAGTAAATTAACGAATCTTGTTTTATTTACCAAGTCACAAAGCATATGACATCAAATATTACATAACATATGAAAATATGGAGAGATTGGCATCTACTTTTTATAGGAGCTAACTTAGTTGACCTCTCATCTATGAATTATCTTGCCCTTTGAAAGTATATATATGCATGTTAATGTGTGATTTGAGAGACTGGCATCAACTTTTAATGGCTGAATTAACTCCTGTGGATTCCCTCTAATTTGTATATTTTATAGATGAGTAATGCTAGAGAGATCACATATGTATATTGTATTTGTGTACCATTTTATGTGACAAGTAATCCATACAATCAACATTTAATCAGATAAATTTATTAATTGACATGACATGTACACATCACTTGCCAAATGAGATAATACATCAAAGATGTGGCATGCACAAAAATATGGTCTCCTGAGCATTTTCCTTTATAGATATTGGACATGAATATTACACTTCAATTCATTTCTATTTTATAGATGTGTGTGTATATATAAGTATCGGATGTGTATTGCGAGTATGCATGTTTTACACTTCAGAGAGAGAGAGAGAGAGAGAGAGAGAGAGAGAGAGAGAGAGAGAGAGAGAGAGGAGATGAGAAGCATGGAAGGAGAGGTAAAACTCAATATCCCTGCAGAGAAAGCATGGGAAATGTACAGAGACAATGAGATCATTAGCAAAATAAACCCTGAAATGCTTACAAGTGCTGAATTCATTGAAGGCGACGGTCACCCGGGAAGTCTCAGACTCTTCAAACTCGGTCCTGGTAACTCTCTAGCCTCTCTTCTCTTCTTTCCCAATGTTCGAAGAGTTTTAAAGTTCAAATCTCCTGTTTTATTGATAAGAAAAGAGAAAAATATATACGGTAGAGTTGGCTATCGTCACTCAAGTAAATAACTTGAATAGCATGTAAATATTATATTGATAACCTATTAGCGAGTTAGGGCTTGTTTATGATTTTATAAGAAACAGTTCTGCTCTAGTTATTTTGCTAAAAGTTTTGTTATTATAACTTGTAGAAAATTTTGTTAAAAATTCAAGTGCTTGATGACAAAGAACTTGGAAGCGTTCCATACGAAAGAACTAGAAAGTGCTTCATGTGAAGAATAACACAACACATGTTTTCAAAAAGCGTTTTAATTTAAGATCCATAAGTGCTATTAAGTTTTTCTGTTCAACGTAATAAAAAAAACATTTTCTGTTGTCATAAAACACTTTTACGATTCATGTGTGAGACCACAGCAATAACTTACGATAATATTCATGTCTTAAACACCGTAGCTGTGCGCAACTATGTAAAAGAATCAGTGGAGAAGATAGAGAAGGTAGAGAACGGTCGGTCTGTGACCTATCGCGTCATTGGAGGTGAACTGCAGAAAATGTACGATCCATACATTGTCACCTTCTCATTCCTTCCTGCCCAAGAAAAAGGAAAAGACGAAGAGATGTGCACTGCAAAATGGCAAGTTGAGTACGAGACACTGATCCCAACAACTCCCCCACCAGAGAAAGCAAGAGATGCTGCTCTAGCATTTCTCATGTGGTTTGATAGGTTTGCTTCAGCCTAAAAAAATGGAGAGAGACTTTGGTGCAGTGAGTTGTATGCTTCTTTGTCGCTATTTCTTTCTTAATATTACACCATCAAATGAGGAGAGAGATAGACACAAAGCGTATACTAGACTCTGTTGCATTAGTTTTCTTTGTTTCACAATGGGAACAAGATGGTCCAATAATGTTGATGTCGTCCAATAATGTTGATGTCGTAACGAAAACAAAAATAAACATTGTGTTTGGCATTGAAGTTTGTAAATTTTGGTGGCGTTTTATGGTTTTGATCCTTAACCCCTTTTTTATTATTATTTTTTTCCAAATTGATATATTAACTTTTAAAATCAAAGAGAAAAATAGTGGTTTCAGTTACAAAAGTTGGCTTAAAGAGTCATATGTCAGGCGCTTTATGACTTTCTGAAGAACATTTCGGTCCTAGAAATTGGGTTTTATCCCCCCAGTTTCCGGCTACCCTCTCTTTTTTTTCTTTTTTTCTTTTTTTTTTCTACCTGGAATTTTAAAAATATTCGAGAGAAATAGGTGGTAGCTAGTAATTCAAATTCTTTGACTAAATACTCTTGAAATATGTTCACATATATAATTCAATTGTGCCGATCTCATTCAGTTAATTTTTTTTCAAAGAAGGATTAGGCGAGATTAGCTCTTCGTTGATAGTCGTGTGTGAGACACCAACTCTCTCCCAAAAGGGAAATGACCATCGCGCCCAAATACTACCCCCCCCCCCCTCACCGTCGTCCCCACTCTACTAGTTTTATTAATAATATGAAGAAAAAAAAAAGTAAAACAAGGAGGGGAACTAGGCCAATACCCGCTGAAAAATAATTAACAAAAGTGATATGTTCTGTTTCACAAAATTTTCAACTTTAGTCACTTGAAATCATAGTTCTGCTGATCATTAGTGCCCTAGTCTTGGTCTAAAAGCTTTAAGATTTCACTGCCAACATCCACCTCCTCCTCATCATCGTTCTGCTCCTCATGGTATAGTACTTCACTGACAATATTGGATTTGATCTCCTGGTTGACATTCCCTCTGATCAGTCTCGGCTGCCTCCTTGGTTGTAACTTTTGTTTATTTATTACACGACAAAGAACATAGTTTGCCTGCAAACAGGAAACGCACGTACAAGATTAGGGAACTGTTTTTTACTTTAATCAACATATAATAAAGCATTTGAATCAATCCCCCACAATTAATCCCTCTCATTGCCACACAAAGAATGATTGAAATAGTTCTTAATCCACTGGTTATGGAGAAAATACAAATAAATTAATCAATATTCAATTGAGAAACTTTTTAAAAGATAACTTGATAATTAAGATGATATATATGAAGAATTTAGACCATCTCCAATCTTGACCTAAAACCTAAAAATATTTAGCCCAGAAACAGTTTTTCTACTTCAACCCTTTTAGCCTAAAATTTTAGCCCCAGATAATCAAAAAATGAATTAAGGCTATTTTTTTTTTAAATTAACTTTAAAAAAAAATTAGGTAGACTATCCTAAATTAATTTTATGAATATTTTAAACTAAAAATATTCAAATTCCGATAAATTTTGAAAAATCACTAAATCAATACATGAAAATCATGATAAACCACATCAACTTAAAAAAAAAGAAAAAGAAAAGACAATTAATAAATCACTTAAACGATTTTACCCCACAAATCCTTTCTATTTTGATTGATGCCGACGGCACCATCTTCACTAACAGAAATTCATGCCAAACATAAAGCAATATCTTCATCAAAGGTCCAATTACGACCTCTAACATGCTCTTTTGCCATCTTGGAACGTCTTCAATTATTGTGAAGATAAATACGACTAAACCAAGAACTCGTTCATAGTACAACTACAACTCAAACGATACTAATTTTATCATAAACGGTTTTTACGACCTACGGAGATAGAACGCTACGGTGGTTTTTCATCCTACATCTTCGATTCACTCAACTGTTTACAGATATCAACAATACATACACATTTTCAATTTTCCACAGGCTCAATGCCTCTCTATAAGCACATTTCTTTAAGAATCACAACATACAAGGTTGCTCGTGTGAATACGAAAAAAATGGACGAACAGATTCGCCTGCCTGTTTGAAGGACATGATATGGATCTCATAAAAATTGTTTGACAATCTTTTGTGTAGTCTAAAGAATACATAGGCACCTCACTTGAGTTCGAACTGTGTCTTTTTACTGTCAATCCTCGTGTTCATCATCCTCACCTTCAGAATCTGCGGTAAACATGAAAGGTAGCGTGAGCAGGTTAAAACATATGACATTAGTTTGAAAACGGACAAATCCCTAAAACCCTGGAATCAATTTTTTTTCCCGCCAATTGCTGTCATGGTTTCGTGCTGGTAATCCAATTTAACAAGGAAATTCAATAAGTATATGATATATTCTCTATGCCAATGTAAACGCCGAAAGGAAAACAGAAAAATTCTCTCTGCACATTTAACTAACCTGGTACTCCATATTATCCAGAATGGAAAGTAAATAAGGCGTAGTACCGTCCAAGAGAGAACAAAACTAACAAAAGCAATGCCGGCAAGCATTTCAAAGCCACAATATTTTGACAACTTCACAATTTCTAAAAACACATCAGATCCTTCATGGAGAGCTAAAATGACCGAGCCTACTCGAGAAAACCTGCAGAGGGGCAAAACAGATAATTAAGACACACGAAAAGATAGAGGCTAGCCTGCATAAAAAAAGCGAAGAAGCAAGTTGACACGCTTTAAAACTAACTTGAATATGTAAGACGCCACAATTAAAATCGTAGTTGCTAAATGATGAGACATTGACACTACAAAGTCAGAACGCCTTGTTCCCAAAACACCAAAGCAAAGGTGGAGTAGATGTAGAATCCAGCGGAATACATGTAAAGCGCCTTCAATTTTAATCTGCCAATAGGGAATATGTCAGGCCAGATGAGATGCAAAAGGCAATTGATTGTAGAGCAAAATTACACATATCATCAGACATCAAAGTAAACAAAACCTGATGTCTAAACTGAGTTAAGAGACGAACTTGGTTTTCGATCTAAGCCGTTTGATTCAATATATATACATAAAAAACTAAAAAAAAAAATTGAACTTGGATGATATAAAGTAGCCAACGGCTATTTTTTGCATTGGGCTGATGATATAAAGTAGCCAACAGCTACTTTTTGCATTGAAAGCTGGGGGAACACCCCCACGTGGGGTTGCTTTTCTTCAGCAGAAATGTGGGGCCCATTTTACTTTGTGGCTTAAAATGTGACCGGAATTTAGCCCCCATTTGGGTTTTAGGTTTTAGGTTTATTTTAGGTCATGGGTTGGAGTGGGTTTTTTGGGGGTGGGGGGGGAAGGGGAATTTTAGATTATAAGTCATGGTTGGAGTTGGTTTAGATCGTAAATTATTCTTTTGGACTTTGGATCTAAGGATATTTAGCATTTATAGTTAGCAATAGTTGAAATCTTTCTAGGAGGCGGATAGCCGCTTTGGATTTGTGATAAACAAATAAGTTTTAAGAACCAAGATTGTATGTGTGTATATATATGAATATATTAATTCATACGAAGAAGAACAATATTCAACGGTGATTCTAATTCATGAAAGCCCTGATAAAAAAGTTACGTACAGCATTCATAAGTAGTATTAAAAATAAATAAACCCTGTTAAAATAGAAACTAATTAAGGCGAAAGATGGAACCCAAGCAAAACCAAATCACTCAATGTTGAACATGCATGACAAGGATTAAAAAAAAAAAAAAAAAGAATAAACAATGACAATGCACAAGAAGGATAAGTCTGGGAATTAAATCAAAGAAGAAATAAGTAAGACTCCAAGAAAAGAAATCATATAGTATTTAAGACTGAAAATTATGCATGTATTTAATATTACTTAATTACTTTGCTATTCTTGTCCAGAAAGCGCTCGTCAAGTCAAAACTCATGCATAACCCAATCTCCCTTTGCCTTAGACGTCGAACCCTCTTTCGGAACATAGCATCACTTTCGCTTAAACCCGATATGAGTCTCAGTCGCTGCTTGAGGATCAAGTTTAACCTTAAAGAGATTACTACAGGCCCAGCAAATCAAGCAGACAAAGAACTTTCGGGTGAAACGCAAAGTGGATGGTTCTTTTGATCGACACAAAGTACTTCTTGTCGCCAAGGGTTACAACCAACAAGCAGGTCTTGATTACAAAGAAACTTTTAGTCCCATTGTCCAACCAAGGACTATTCGTATGATCCTTGCCTTGGCTATTTGCAAAAATTGGACTTTACAGCAACTCGATATTTGTAATGCCTTCTTGAATGGAATCTTGCTTGAAGAGGTCTACATGAAACAACCACTTGGTTTTGTTGATTCCCAACACCCTAAGCATGTTGTCGTCTTCACAAGGCACTCTATGGTGTTAAACAAGCTCCACGTGCATGGTTTCAACGCTTAAAGTCCTTTTTGCATAGCCAAGGGTTCTTCCACAGCAGACCAGATGCATATTTGTATATTTATCACTCTTCCACATATTCTTTATATGTGCTTGTGTATGTTGACGATCTGATTGTTACAGGCTCTAATTCTGCTGCTGTTCATCAGTTCATTGATACATTATGTGCCACCTTTTTGCCAGTCGGAAGTTGGGGGATCTTAATTATTTTCTTGGCATGGAGGTCATCCGCAATGGCAGTCACCTCTCTCTCTCTCTCTCTCTCTCAGTCTCATTATGCTTCTGATTTGTTAAAAAAATTTAAGATCAATCTTTGCAAGCCAAGTCCCACTCCATTCCTCTCCTCTACACGCTTATCTGCACATGATGGTGATCCAATTTCTGAACCAGAGACATAATGTAGTATGGTTTGTGGGCTCCAATATCTTACTCTCTCATGCCCCGACATTACTGATGCTGTCAGTTTGTCAATACATGCACAATCCATAAACCACTCATCTTCAAGCAGTTAAGCACATTTATCGCTATATTATCAAGGGCACCGTTGCGCATGCTCTCCTCTTCCGTTCCTCAATGGACTTCTCTCTTCGTGGATTCTCCGATGCTGATTGGGCTGGTTCTGTTGATGATCGTCGATCCACTAGTGGTGCGTGCATTTTCCTGAGCCCAAACCATCTAACTCGGACTACTAAAAAGCAATCCACAGTGTCTCGCTCAAGCTCTGAAGTTGAATATCATGCTCTTGCCACCACATCAGCTGAACTACGGTGGTTCTGCTATTTGTTTCTTGAGATTGGTCTTCCTCTTTATACTTCACCATGCATTTATGTCGATAATGTCTCCGCTCTTCAAATGGCTGCAAATCCGGTCTTCCATGCTCGCACTCACCCCATAGAAATTGACTGCCATTTTGTTCGTGAGTTAATTGCTCACGGGGTCCTTGCCACTTGGCATATTCCTTCACAACATCAAATTGCCGATGTCTTCACCAAAGGACTATCTCGTGAACGATTCTCCTTCCTTATTTCCAAGCTCAATCTTCACTTTGTTCCGTTTCACTTGAGGGGGGATAAAGAGATTACTACAGGTCCAGCAAATCAAGCAGATAAATCTGCCATTAGGACGTGATTTGCTGCACTGCATGATTCACTCAGTCTCTGTCTTTATTGTTGTACTATATTCTAATACTTACCTTCTATGGCTTTACAAAGTCAACTGATGTAATATGTATATATATACAATCTGTGATAATGCCAATAATCATGTAAATCAATCACAAATTATTCTCACCAATTCTCTGCTCTTTTGCGTTCATACTTTTCCTTTCCAATCTCAAATTCTATAAACCGTAGGGTTGGTTTGGTATTGCTGTGCTTTGAAAAAAAAAAAAACTGTTTCTGATGTGTTGTGAGAATAAGTATTTACCAAACACCTTTTTCAGCTCAACTTTTTTTGATACCCACTTTTTATAAAAGTACTTCAGTACCAAACCAGTACTTAATATGCTTATAGCTTTGGATTCTCCATGTAACGCATCCTCCAGATGAGGTCCTCTCTACCCGTGAACCTTTCTCCGTCTTCTTCTTTAACACGATGAAAAAGTAGAGACATCTTTCACTAGTTTGATCGAACAACTGCCTCCATGTTTCTTCGTTTCCATAAAGATCGCACTCCATCATGGCGTTGCAAGAAAGCGGTAGACCGTGCTCTTTGTTGTAAAGAAAGTGAAGCAAAAGCTCTTTGTCGGATAGTTCGAAGTGACATCCGACTGGTAATCCCAGGCTGCTAGCAGTCTCCATGATAATGAAGTTTGTACGTTCAAGATTCAATCGTCTCGAGGCTCAAAAGAACAGCGCGGCTTGCAGTTTGTAGGTTAAGGTTGTATGAAAACAAGAGGGGCAAAATAAATGGAAAGTAGCTGCTAGGTTTTGTTTCCTAAAACTTGGAAGTCAAGGAAAGATACCAATTCGTGCAAATGCACTGGGTTTTGGATGTATGTACAGTAGAGATTGGAGAATGACGGCATTTTAAGGGGTTAATATACAGCCGTTCATCGCTAGAAATATTTTGCATGGCCAAGGATCTGCTGTCCCCTTTTTTGTCTCATATTGTATCTTTTGCTAATATTTTAAGGCCAAATTGGATTATTCATCCCCGTGGTCATATGAAACTTGCATGATGATCCCTGTGATGAAAAAATTAGGAATTAAACCCCTGTGGTCAAGAATGTTAGCAAATTTAGTCCAAAAGTAAGATTTCTGTTAAATGACTGTTAAAAGTATGGGTAAAACTGTATTTTCAATTCCAATTAACATTTAAAATAAATATTTTTTTATAACAATTAACAAAAAAAAAATAATGCTTAATTTTTTAAATAAAAAAAAGCCCCAATTCAATGTCAATTGGAACATAAAATACAGTTTTATCCCAACTTTTAACAGTCCTTTAACATAAATCTTACTTTTGGACTAAATTTGCTAACATTCTAGACCACGGAGGTTTAATTCCTAGTTTTTTCATCACGGGGGTCATCATGCAAGTGTCCTATGACCACGGGGATGAACAATCCAATTTAGCCATATTTTAACACATGTCCTATAACTTAATTGAGAGATAACCGTGTTAAATTATTTTAGTTGCCATTTAAAAATTAAAAAAAAACTCTGGAATACGATGAAATACTTACGCCTGAGCAAAGTAAATCTGGCGTCAATCTTTTTCTCGATCTCGATTATCATCTTCAAACCCAATCCGAGTGAGGGATTAATAGAAAAAAGGACAAGGGTGAAGGATCGGGATTCCTGTCATTCGTACAATTTGGGGGCAAGCATCAATCCCAGTATATGAATCTTGAACCCTCTATGCCCACTTTCATCTCTTGTCCACTCCCTCTGCTCCTGTCTCATATCATATGCCTCTTTCATGTTTTGGTTTTGTAAAAAAAAATCAGTACAAAGAATGTTTGACAATTTATCTCTGTCCTGAAGATATGTCATGGTTCATGATGAAGTTTAGTGTTATTTTTTTAATCATTGTATATGGGTTAAAAAAAAAAGAAAGTGAAGATGGAATGGGCTTTGAAAAAGAACGAAAAAATATACAAGAACAGTGGTGTTCTTATTGCAGATTATGAGAGTAGAGATTTAGATGGCTGGGTTTTACAGGTGTTTGAGAAGGTGAAGAATCCTATTTGGGTTTGCTCACCTCGTTAACCCAACAGTTTTTTATTATTTTGGATTTTTTTTAAATTTAAATGTTAAAGAAATAAAGTTAATAGAGTTAAGTTTTAAGTTAAGTTAAATTACACGTGTCAACATATTAATAAAGAAACACAAATGAGACACTCTTTAGGGACAACAAACTTGGAGCCATGCAGGGGCATGGGTCTTAAACCATCATTTTTTCGGTTAGGGTAATTATCTAGATAATAGAGTTTCAATTTTATATTTTTTACCGCACATTTTCTTTCTCATTGAATAGAAGTTGTTATTTATTTTTGTACTTTTTTTATTGGACTTTTGCAATTCTTTTTTTTCTTTCTTTCTTTGGTACTGATTACATTACATGTGTCAATGTAGTTCAAATTTGAATCAAATTAATTCC